GTCTTTCAAACCTTCGAATTCGAACTCGTCACTTGCATTTTGATGGTTATTCTACATCGGAATTTGGATCAGATGAATGAGGTGGTATTCCCAAGACGGCGATGCGAACAAACTAGTATAGAATAGATATTTACATGTATATTATTTTGTAAACGGGACGTGGATGTGTTTCGTGGAGAATTTAGTGTTGCAGAGCGGTAATTGCTGGGTAATTAGATAGGCTGGAGGAGAAGATGTGTGTGATTGTCAAGTTCAAAGCCCTTAATAACATCATCATTACTATTTCTAACGATCGTCTCGGGGCAAGCAGATCGTGAAATCGGTTCAGCGGCAGCGGAAACGTGCTTCACTCTGCGTTCCTACGTTGTGTTGAAAATGGAATCGGTAAATTCTCTCTTTTCGTTCGTTATTCCGAGCCACTACTAAAACAGCGGTCACTGCCACCTCTTCTTCGATGATCATGCACATCCAACACACCATGTCTTGTTTATGATTTGATACTACATCATAAACAATTATTGTTAAAACTAATTCTTAACAACAGATCTTATTATAACAATTTATCTATCTGTAAACTATCTTACAATATACGAAATTATTGGAAAAAAATAAATATTTTGTACTGAATTACTCAAAAAATAATTAATGCTTACGCAATTTAATCGATAATTGTTCATTGTTTTGTCGTTTACTGTCAAAATTACAGTTTATTGAATATCTTCATTTTGTATTGTTGATTTTTAAGCTAGTTCTATCAAATCATTTTTAAACAATTTAATCTATAACTTCATTATTTTATCGAGAACTGTTCGAAACAAGGTGGCCTTTAAACTTACTTTAGTTCTAGTATATATTTATATTATCTTTCATTGAATATCGTAATTGTATAATTATTAAGTTAGAAATAAGCCTTATCAATATTTACTGAGGCAATTCAGTCGATAATTATGCACTGTGTGAATCAAGATGTCCTATTTCAGTAGACAATATTATATGAAAAATAGACTAAATATAATAAGTGTGATGATTATAGCTCTCATTTCTGTCGTTAACCTACAATACGCTGATAATATGCTCCGTTGAACTCGACGACTAATTAAGTCGTATAAACAACGGTTAAACACATATAATAATGCTACTTTTGTAGCGATTAATGTTTTCCTCTCTTAATTCGAAACTTTCACATTTGAATTTTGCGAACGCATTCGGATTTATCGGTTCTAGTATGAAGCGAACAATAATATTTATAATTATATTATTTAAAATCATTGCCTTTTGCAGTTAACTTTTTGTTTTGCTTTGGTTTTTATTGTTGAAACAAAGATGATTATTATTTACATTTATCAATATGAAATACGATTTTAATATCGAGCAATAGTACTGTCGTCTCTAATAAACAAAAAATAGTTTAAACTGTGATGTGGGATGTGACAGGAAGTTGCAAGTGCATATAAATGTAGTGGTACGAAGCAAACGTTTATTATTACAACAAAACTCGGAATTGTAATCACGTCACGACGCTCTTACGTTCTTGTTGTTATATTTTAACAACAGGATGTCTGGGAGGATGTGAGCTGTTTCACTTTAACAATTTGCTTCTTTTCATCGAATTTCATGCCTGTTGCATATTATCCGAACGTAATTTGAATTTAATTCAGTCCTTCAGACATTGTTAGCGCATAATGTTGGTTTATCAAAATAAACAGTGCGTAAGTATAATTGCTTCTTTATTAAATATTTTACAATGGGATCATTCTTTATTTGAAAGTGAACTTTTGTTTTTGTCTCGAAAGTAGAGACAAAGAAGATCACCATAGAGATTTAACGCAATTTCGTTTTGTTATGGAACCACCGATATGAAATCTTTTGAAAAGGATGAGGTGAAAACGGAACAAAATTGGAAGCGTAAACAGGAAACATGCGTCCTTTGTTATTTCGGTGAAAGAAGCAGCAAGCTACAGTGAATTTGCATTGAAAGAAGTATAATTGCAACTGTAGGAATTCTTGTACAGATGAGTTGAAAAAAAATGAGATCCATAAAAGAGGGAGACACGGGCAGTAAATTAAATGTTTGTTTACGCAGAGAGTTATTGGGCCATAAATCCAGCAGTCCCGGCGAAACTAAACTTCACAAATAGAACTTTCGACTCCGAAAAAAATAAAAATCCCTCACCGAAAGGCATTCTCGGAAAGCGCCGCATTCTTTGACCAAATAATTGTGAAGCAGGTAGAAAAGAGAATTCCACGCAACGGGTATCCCGGAAATATTAAAATGTCGCTCTTTGAAGAAGCAGAATGAATACGTACAAAAAATATAATCATATATGCGAATTCGTTTCGCTCTCTCGGATAACTATAAATATAAGAGCGTTGCAATTGCGGATAACCTATTTGTTCTTAGGTTTTTCTTTTTCTTTTGACGTTAAAGCTGCGAATCTGAGTAGCTAAGACTTGTTGAATCTGTGTCACCGTTTGTTATTTAACAAAATGAACATGTTCTTGTTTTGCTTTTCAGTTTTGTTTATTATTTTTCGCAGTTGGTTGATGTATTTCAATAGCGGTAATAAGTAGAGGATGAGAAGACGGGTTCTTCCCGCATCAGGAGGTACCGATGGTAGTAATAACCGTTACTTCTTCTCTCATACGGTACCAACTAAAGTCGGTTGCGAGTCGCCCACACACTTGCCTTGATATACCTTTAAATTACACTTGCACACTCATTGGGTGACCCAATCGCCTCAAACGAAAAGACATTCTGTTTTGGCATACTTAAATTCATAATTGTGCCGAAATTTAAATCAATCTCCACGCGAATTCCAGCAAATTCCGACAATATGTGGCTTTTATTTGTAACCAGAAGGTAGTTACTAACTTTATTTTATAACAAATAGTTATTTTGGGTCATTGCTTAAATAGTCCTATCAATTTTTACCTGTAAAGGTACAATCCAATTTTTGATGTCTGGATACAAAAGCTAAAGCAGGTATACTTGGTACTTAAAAGTTTTCAATGGTTGGCTTACTGACCTACGGTTATTTCTAAACAGATTTTCTGAAACCGCTAAAGTAAGACTGCTCATTGAGTTTGTCTCGAACAATGATCATGTGATGCAAATCCTTGCCAAATGCAGTTATAAAACAAAATGCGAAGCATACACGTGTTTCCATTGTTCAATTATTTTTATACTTATTTACTTAATATATTTGTTTAAACACAATGAACGTAATTTTAAAGATATATTACAGTTTTCTTTAATTTATTATTTAACTTTATCAAAAGATGAAATTCTTAGTTTAAAATTGAGGTGACTCTGTTTAAACATATTTTTCTTAAATAATTTATATAATTGAATTGGATTCTCGAGTGTTTGTTTTTTGAGTTCTTCATTTTCGTTCTAAATATGTTCTCAAAATGTGAACCAGATTAGATTATTTGCTGTCTTACGAAAAAGGCGCTTGGCACTTATGTACATAGTCTTTTATCTCTAATTTGTAAAATACACTGTATTTATGTTCACAGTTTCCGTTAGAAAAAGTGTCTAGATTTATTTTAAATATTATAACATAAATAATATAACTGTTTGTAAAAATTAGTGTCTGTTATTTNNCATATGGGATTATAATTATTAATACGTTTATTATCTCCTTTCGTGCGTAGACAATTAATTATTGCGAAAATTAGAAATTCTGCAATTTTTTCAAATAACTATCAATAATTTTCTTTCGACACGTAAATACTATTAATACAGATAAGGATTTTTACACACGCACGATAAGGTAATAAGGCTTTCCATTTATTATCTGCTCTTGATGAAAAAAGAAATTGGCAGTAAATTACTTTCAGTTTGTGTGTTTCGTAGAATTACATGTCGAGACTCTTCGGGAGGGCAACGTTGTTGTGATAAGGAGGTTTCTGCCTGTGGGGAGAAACCGTTAGCAATAACTGTTGATTGAATCATTAAAAATGTCTCGCTGCCGTCCATTTGTTGCCAAGTAATTTAATGCTCTGGGAAACAAAAGCTAAAATTAATCTGTTCAATGCGAGACGCCTACTTTAGATTGTTTCATATGTACATTCTTTTCTTTCCTTTTTACATTCTTTCTTCTCCCGGATGATCTTACGCAGGATATCTATATCATGCTATGCAAATGTTGTATCTTCCAATGTAAACATGTAATCTCTTTAAGACGTTTTGTTATGAGAAATATAGTACGGTGGTGGATCCTCATACTTTGATACTATAATATAAATATTTGTTTCTGAAACAATATTAGATCATAGCATAATTACTAAACATATGATTTTAAATTGTTAAACATATTTTTTTTTTGTTTAATTGTGAATAATGATTAATTGAATGACGATAGCATTCTAATTTTATGGTGTGAAAAAGTAAAGCATCTTTTATAGCGGATAAAACTTGGATTCGTGATTCAAATTTTATACTCTAATTTTGGAGTTAAGAGTTAGAAAAAACTATTATTTAATTTTTTAATTTATATTCAATGTAATTTAAATGATGATGCTAAATATTATTCGTGTAAATTACAGCGTTTGATTTGCATATAATTCGATATTTTGATATTTCAACCTACGACGATTCCCACATGCCAAAAAAACGCCCATTCGATCCTCCTACACGTGCGATCAATCAATTATGCAATATTCGGATTTTGCAAACGTCAAAACATCGCACACTCAAGTCGGAATCATTCAATTTTGAAACGAGTAAAATGCAAACGTTTCCCATATCACAATCTTCTTCATTATTATTACTTTTTTTTTAATCCGTTCCAGTTCCCACATGTAATCTACAAAAGCTAGTTAGTAACTTGTAGGAGAGTCGCATTACGAGAGTAACTCAAAACCTTACATAAAAAGAAGATTGAATAGGAAAAAAAAGACACGTAATGCTGCATATGCGACGAACATAAAATTGAAAATACATATTTTCGTTTTTTTGTGTGATTCTGTTTGATTGTTTTCTTTTTCTGTTGTAGGTAAGTTCCCCAAAATTCTTTCAACGGGTTTTCCGGAGGTCGCATTCAATAGTAAGTGGAGATTGACGGAAATTTGAAGCGTACATGCATATGTCTTATTTCATTTTCATGCAAATATTTCTGGCACAATTTCGTAAACAGCGATTATTTTTGGTTTTGCGATAACGATCCGTCGTTTGTTCTAAACTTAGCGACGAGGAAGTCGCATTTTCAATGCCTCTTCCCTTCTTCCTTCAGGAACTGAATATTTGGGAGAACTAACAAATATTGAATACGGTGTTTATTTAGCTTCCGGTCTAATTAATAGAATCAACACGAGAGAGGTTCGTTCCCTGTTTATCAATGGAAGGTTTATTTTAGTTTTCCCGTGTGCGTGCGTGTGCACTTTTTTCCCTATTCCGTTGATGAAAATTTGTAATGTTTTCCAGTCAGGTGAGACATGATGGGAAGCAGAAAATTCCTCCGCATGTTTTGAGGTCGGAGCAACAACAAAAAAAAAATTAACGCGAGGAATTCGAGTCTATTCATAATTAGCACTTTTGTTATAAGCAATTAGCGCCCCGCGCCGCTGTTTATATAATTAAATTAGTTAAAAGCAATGTTGTGTTTAGACTGCGAACATCTGCCGTCTACTTGAACTCTTTTAATGGAACCAAATACAATGAACGATGCAATTTCCGTTTCAATTGCACGTACACATCTTTAATCTGAAAAGAAAAACGATTTAAATTCAATTCATTTACTAGTTTTGCTGAATGATTCGCTCAAATCATCAAAATTTGTCGTTCTAATTATAAACTTCAGCATTTTCTTTTATTGTGCGAATTGGTGTCTTCCTTTTTATTGTCATTTATCCAAGTGTATCCTTACTTTCTAATTCGCACGTTTTACTAAATCTTGCTGCGATTGTTTTCGTTCGTATGCTTTTTTTTTCATCGCTGTTACAAAAGAAAATGCAAAGAATGAAAAAGGCCACACATCCTGTTCACTTGCATCATATGCACTTTACAACTGGTAAATATGCATCGACTTGTAATGCGTGTTTCAAGTAGCGGCTAACTAAAATCGATACAACACGGAAGTCAATTAGGAAGTTACATGCTACTGATACAATGTTGTTATTGCTTTTGTCTAATAAAGACAGTTAAAATACCCGTTTAGAACTCGAGGTTCATATGAATTTAGTCATGACATGACTTATTATTTGCTTATACCCACTTTTATTATCTATAGGTTTTTTTTTTGTAGTTGATATTTAAAATACTAAAAACAATAGAGCGCTTTCATAATTTTCTTTATCAATGAACGCAAATAATTTGAAACGTGCAACAGCTTTTTTTAGACTTATTTAACCTTGGATGTTGATTATTATAGAATGAATTTAGTTTAATTAATTTATTATACAATATTTACTCGCAATAAGAATTAGTAAAGTATATTAAAGTAATTATAAAAAAATGGTATACAGATTACATGAATTTTGCTGCCTCTGTTTTATTTATATAAAATTTGGTCTATGTTTGCAAATTGATATTTATAAACTGGTTATTTTACTTTTATATTGAGTTGTTGTTTAAATTTGATGAATGGATTTTTCCACGTAATTCTTGCATGCTCAATCGAATGCGCTGCTACCGATTTGCTTACCTAATAGATTTAAGAGCCGTTATAATATGCGTAGATTATTCTACATGAGTATGTGTATGAATAAATATAGCTTTACTCAGATGTGGGTATGCTCAAATGCTGTCAATTATAACGACCGCTCTCTCCAGATCGATAAGTTATGTTCACGAAGTAAACTCTATTCATGTTATGATTCCGTTAAAATATTACCAATTATCTCGTAATGAGTATCTCTGAGAATGGTCGAGGATAATGAAATTAGGACTGAATATCCTTCCGAATAATCAACACAATAATAATATCCATTCTCGTCGCGGACCTCTTGGTGCGAGACCAAGTAAACTTGGGATTACTGCTTATTCTCGTTCGTAAATATCAAGTCGAGGACAAAATTAATTGCGTGTTATAATGATTCAAAGCACGGCCATTTATTTTCAGTGCCCGTCCCCAAGTTTAAACCGCTTCCAAAATAGCAGCAGCACCCTTTCCTAGCCAATCCATTCGAGATTTATAGTGTTTACTTTCCTCGCCTCGGATTTTTTGAAGCACAATGGTTATTTCGGTTTATAAAACGCACCAAAATAATGACTTTGGCTGGTAGCCCATACAACCAAATGTATAATAATACAACATAGATTTAATTTAAGAAAAAAAATAAATAAAACGCACGCATTGTTAAGTAATTTAGAGCGATTCTACTAGTTCCAAGTCAATGTTCTTTCTTTCAATACTCCGATGCGGTCGGACTCTCCGGATAATTGTATACAGTAGATTGAAATCTCGATTCACATAATTTCCTAACCCACATTGAGATCGATGGTTCGCCTCCTTTCTGCTTGCTTTTTCATGTAGAAAAAGTGTTTTTTTGTTATGGTTGTTATTAAACTGCTCCCGTTTTTATTATTATATACTTCTTGTGATTCATACGGACGGGGTGGCATCATAATATGATCCGAGGCCCGCATTGGTCGTTTAATTCTTCTCTTCTCTACACTACAGTTTAATGCAAGCGACATTTGATATGTGAAAAGGAAGCCGAATCCAGATGGCGAATTAGTAGTGTCTGTGGCTCCAATTGTTGTGGGAAATGGTTTCTGTTTGGCGAAACTTCTGTATAACATTACCTGTTGGTCGACCTGCACCAAAAAAAAGATAAACTACATCCGCTCGCATTTCCGACCATTTGCATGCTCACGTAATTATGTAACTAGAACATAATGACAATGTTTTAAATATTCAATTTACATCAGATCTTTAATTTTATTTAATTACTACTTCTTTTATAGACTTAAGACAGTTCCAATTCCAGCACTAAAAAAAAAACGATATATAAAAGATTTTGCAACACATCCAATTTTTTAATAGATTTCTTGAAAGATGCATCTTTTGGTCTTAAAAATGCGATAAGTATTACTTAAAATACACATTTTAGCTCTTGATGAATACAATTATTAACTAAAATTAATAGAGTTTAATTATTATAATGCTGGTATTTTCTATACAAAATGTGGGTCTTTCCTCTACGTTCGTTTTTCAAGCGCAGTTCTATTTTCAACCTGATTTAATACATATGTTGATAATTATTGAAATATTTTAATTTTCCAAGAATACTCCATTCCCGAGCTAACTACGCATGGAATTGATATGATGATAATAATTGCTGTATACCCTGTATGAAACCAGTGGCGTACTCTCCAGAAAATTGGTTGTAATCAGCGTAATTAATTGAACATAGAACGTATTATTCTGCACACAAACATCTATCTTGACCTAAAAAAATTAAAACGCAATAGCAATAATTAAAAAAATAATAATTTGCTTGTGGAGAGCACTCTGCATAAATAAATACATGTACGCTTGTCCTCGACATTATTCATTGCAACAAGCGTTTTTTTTTTCATATAAATGATCTGAAACAAAGGTATATAAATTAGTAACATTTGTATTCTGCAAGAATGAATTCATTATTATTGTTTCAGTTTAATCTTGAATATAATGCTTGGCTAGTGAGAAATATAATATACTTAAATAATTAATAAACACAAACAATAATATCAGATATGATTCTTAACCAATGTGTTTAAGTTAAAATGAGTACAAATTGAGCTTATATTATTGTATTTTAAATCAATTTGCTATTGAAGCGAAGTTTAATTCACAAGCAATAATAGATGTATTGATGAAGGAAGAAGCGGTGCATCTTAAATGATGTCAAAGGCATAGCCTCATGAACTCGATTTCGCGAAGTATGTGTATACAAGTGGTCATTAACACCTAAACAATAAATATTTACTGCAGCCAAGAGATTTTCTCTTGCATTTAATTTGTTAATGACTATCTAGAAATTTTATTTAAATATTTATATCTGCATTACGTTATTTATTATAATTTGCAGCCGACGTGCTGCCACTGAACAGAGATGTAACTGAAGTACGGAGAAAGATAAATAAAAATTACATAAAGTATTACAATCGCGAACAGATGTGTTTGGAAATATGAATCTCTTTGATGGCAGATGGCTCGGGATTTTAAAAGTGTTTAACTATCTCTACATGCATATATAACGCACGGACACATGCACACTATGTGCGTTCGCGTCGTACGTGTGTGTATATAAACCAGTTAGGTTTTGGCCTTTTTGTCTTCATTACCATTATTATTATTCCTCCGCGCAAAGGAAGCCATTCATTTAGAAACTAGTTCCACAATAAAATTCTTACAACTGCATTCAGGCAGGCACTAAATCTCGTACAGCTGGGATTTTATTATGAAAACGCAAATCCATTATACATCTATTGGGGATATTGCTGTACTCATGCATCAATGAAGTTGCATTACGAATGACAAAATTGGATCAAGAGCAGATTCACAAATTAACTACATTATTTCATATTTATTTTTAAAATAAGATAATAGAACGGAAATATCTTATATTTATAACTACATGATACGGGTACATGTAATATTTCCATGTTAATTATATTTCATCTTCATGAAGACATAATTAATCTTGTTGGAGAGACTAGTTCGTAGTTTCTTATATCTTGTTAGGTAACGAAATAATCGAACTTTTTTAAATACCAGTATTGTAATTTATGAACATGGGTTTAAAATAAATTATCAGTAATTTTGTTACCATTTTCTATAAATTTTACCCCTTGTCAAGCGAGAATTTGGAAAAAAATGCGACCTATACCTCCTGCGATGATTTTAATAGCTTTCAGATATTGTCACCAGCGACTGCGATTTTCGAACCATGTGCATGGGTCTTCGCAGTGGGGGATCTTTTAAAAGCCCCATCGGCTTTCCATGAGCAGCAAATAAATAATTTTAAATAATTCCGAAAGTCTTTGGAAAGTTGTATTTATTTTTTATATATTTTCATTAATTTAAATACTTTAAAATAAGATTTTATAGTCTGTAAT